GGGGGGGGGGGGGGGGGGGAACAGCAGCTACCTTTAGTGATCACAGTCATGCTCTGGCAGGCACCTTGTTGGGCCTGATCCTGAAACCTTGGAAATAGGCCACCTGCTAGGCACTAGGCACCAAACAGCCATTTGCGGTAGGTTTTTTTTTGGAGGTTGGGGGGGCAATGCAGTGCCCCCGAGCCCACCTCAGTGAGTGACACCCTCCTCCCCCCATGGCCCCTGCCCATTATCAACCTACTGCCTTTGCAGTGGGGTTGCCGGGACGCCTGGGTTCCTTGCCTAACGTGCTTCCTCCCATTGTCCCTCTGAGCAAAGACAGTCTCCGTGCCTCAGTTTCCCTACCGCTGCCCCCCTCCTGCCCAGTCTTTTGCTCATTGCCAACCTTAGCCATGCCAGGATTGTTGCAGTGCCCACCCCGTCCCATCCCTATCCTGTCTGTTCCCTGTCGTGCCCCAGGCTGGGTCTCTAGAGGACAAGTGACAGCGCCAGAGACAAACTGTCCCACCATAAGGCTCCGGCAGCACATAATGTCCCTCTGGCCCCTCACCGAGGAGCTCTATTAAGTCCTGCCCACGTCCTCAATGGAGCGCAGCAGACACCTTGATGCTGGGTCAACTAATGGCCCATGAGCAGCCTTTGCAAGCCCTGATGCTGGCAGCTAAATGGAGCAGCGGATGCGTGCCGCATGGCTGCCTTTGCGGTCACCCCATCATCTTGGCCTGTCTCCCCAGCCGTGGTGCCATCATCCTTCAGGCGCAGCTGTCACCCTAGATGATGAGACATGGGGCTTGTGCTCTGAGACATTGCGGCTCCCCCTTCCCAGGTCCTAACCTTGCTGTCTGAAGCGTGCATCCTAGCAGGCCCAGGAGGGCAGTGCTATTACCTTCATGTACAGATGGGACAAGGATGCCTACAATGTCAAAAGGCAGCTTTGGGCCCCTGAATTGGCTGGGCAGAGAGATGCCAGCACCACCCTCAAGAAGTTGAGCAAATGCAGACACAATGAACCCGTACTGTGCTCTTCGCTACTATGACACTGCTGGTGGCAACGCTCAAGCCATTTCAGCTTGCTTTTGGCTCTTGGCTGCTGGTGAGCTCTTAAGGCCTTCTCCAGCGAGGCGCCTAATAACCCCCAGACTCTCCTACATTGAAGGGTTTGACCTTCACCCCCACCCCCAGTTTCTCAGCTCTCTGGTGGGAACAGCAGCACTACGCTACTCCAGCAAGCAGCTAGCTTGTGCTGTGCTCCGATAAAACAATTGGCAGGGTGGCCCAAGGGGATCGGTGAAGGCTAGAAGCCTGCAAGATAACATGTATGTAACATAACGTAACATGTACAAGTGCCCTGTGATTCTACTAATAGCATGATCTGGCCCCCAAAGAAACCCACTTCTAAGCTCCTGCAATTGCTGCTGGTGTTGGAGATGGTCTTGAGACCGGGTTGTGCCTTGCAGACACAGGAAAGCACAGAAGCCTACGTCCTCAGCCACCAGCCCCTGATACAGCTGGGATTAGCTCTCAGATCAAAGCTAGGCCTGTTCCCACTAGGGTTACCCATTTCTGAGATGCCAGAATAGGATGTGAGAGGGTCTTCATAGCTCTTTTGCTTCCTTGGAAGACCGGGTCTCTTTCAGGGGCAGTCCCCAAATAAAATTGCCTCCTGTGGCTAGGCACTGGGGCCAGTGTGGTCCTGTTTGGGGTGAAGGGAAGCAATGGTTTGACCCCATCTGTGTTTATCAGTGGGACAGATCTCGCGCAATGCGAGCAAAGAGCCATGGGGCCATCGGCAGCAAGAGGCGATGAGCACAGGGGACTCAGCCAGAAAGACAAAGTCTCTGCTACTGTTCTGGCGGGGAGATAACAGTATTCAGCATCATGGCTGGGACTTCTGCCTGATCGGGGCAAAGGAGCTTATGGAAAGCACAAGAGACTGCTGGATGGCAGAGTCACATTGGAGCCAGCTCTCAGGGTGAGGACTGCAAAGGCATCTGGTCCCATGCCCCTCCAGGAAGCCATTGGAAGGAGCAGTTCCCCCTTCAAAGCTATCTGCTGCCACGCGCTGAGTGATGGAGATGTCCCTCAGAGATCTGGCTATGCTCTCAGCAGTGGACAACAGGCCTCGAAGGGGTTCAACCTACCTCTAAACACCAGCTTTCGGCTCTCCTTGGAGAATCCCGGCGCCCTGTGCTGCATTTCCTAGGACTATGGCAAGGAACAGCACAGAAAGTGGTGAGAAATGCAGCCCTGGCTCTGCACAAAGAGCCTGGGAATGGGGTGAACATGGAGATCAGGAAGGTGCAAAGTAGGGCTACGGCTCTGCTATGCCCCCATTCACATAAAAGTGACAGCATAGAGATGCACTCCCTCCTGGCCCTTGCCCTTTCCTTTGAATGGAGAGACCACCGCACCCTCAACTGCCGCTGAAGGACGCAGCAGCCGATCAGCCCGGGGGGTGTGCAAAGATGAACTGGGTTAGACCAGGGCTGGGGAGGGAAAGCAAAGCCTGTTTGGTGGCAGTGACCCGCAGCAGAAAGCAGTGTCTGTCTGTCACATCACAGGGGAGATGGGGGCCCACCTGCAGCAGGGAAAAGGGGACTTGCAATGCCCTGCACCACTGGCATTTCTCTGTGCATGTGCCCTCAGATATGATACTGTGCCCAGACATCTATTGAAAACTCTGGGAATAGGGGCTGTGCTGTCAACACCAACAATTTCTACTACCAGAGCACGACAGATAGGTGCCCTTAGAATAAGAGGCTCAGAATGGGGTTGGACTCGATGGTCTACAGAGGTCCCTTCCGACCCTAAAAATCTATGAAATCTAGCCCAGGGATTTCCAAACGGGGTCCTGCAGTAACCTGGCGTGCCTTGAAGTCCTTTCAAGGGCACCTGCGACTCCATGCAGCGCTAGCACTCTTCAGGGCACATAGACACAAGAATTTCACATGTTAAAAACCAATTCTGAGCTCTTTGCAACAGAAAATTTGATTTTAGATCACCATTAAATGATCTAACTGGGCAATCAGAGGCAACCAAACTGGGCAATCTTAAATGGAGAATCAAAGAGAGTGAGGGTTGTCATTTTTCATACGGTACAACACATTCTGAACAAATTGCCCAATGGCATCATTTAATGGTGATCTAAAAAAAAAAATCAATCCATGCAGCTTCCCCTGAAGCAGTCAAATGGTTATCAAAGGTAGATATTAATCTAAATTTAATCTAAATCTAAAATTAGATATTTAATTCATCTGGGTTGCTGGATGTCCTGTATTGAAGAGAGATACCTGGGTTAAGTTAACACCAAGTGACTTCTCCCCTGAGGTTTTCCAGCCCTGTCTTAGTGTTTCCAAATAGGGCTTTCCTTTTTCACGGTTCTGTTTTCCAGTGGGAACCTTAAGGGGGCCAGAGTGTCTCTATGTTCTCCT